CCTCGGTGTTTGAATTTCAACACCAATTACAAAAGGAAGATATTCTTACACCAACCTGGTAAGACTGTTGTTAGCATTTAGTGCCTGAAATAGTCAGGAGGGCCTGGCTTATACTTAGCTAATATTACCATCACAAGGATACAGATTTTAAACTGACACATTATGCAAGTCTTTTAAATCTATTGTAATTACTGATTATCCAGTTAGCCCCACAGAGAAATATCTCCCTAATGCGGGGGGAGGGGGGAAGGCATTTAAAGCCACTCAGTCCCTAAACTCCCTATTCCCTGTCTGCTACCACCTACCACCGATGCGAGATCAGGAGCCCTTCCTCTTTAATCCCACGGTACATCTCCGTTAGAGCATTCTACCAGGATGTTTTCGTTGTTGGTGCACTGTCTTCCCCACCAAGGCTTCTGCGAACTCCTTAAAGTCAGCCACTATGTCTTGTGCATCTCAGCACCTCCACGACACCTGTTCCCACACATAATAGAAGCTCAATAAAGGTGTGTTAGATTAACAAATGTGATACTGTAGGAAATGGATATATATGCATATGTGTGAAAAACGTCATCCAGTTCAGGGTCTGTGTTCTGTAGACTGCAATGTCCTTGCTCTCTGATGTTTCAGGAAGGTACACCTCAGCTGGGACCAAGAAAGAAAAAAGGAATCATTCAAGAAATACCTAAAGGGCCCTCTGTGAGCTTCAGGCAACAAACTAGGCTCTAGGGTTATAAAGACCACATCTTTATCTGTAAAGAGCTCGCAGCCCTGTAGGCACCTAGCTGGTAAGGATCTCACCCCCCACCAGGGAGGAGAGATGTTAAAGTTAAAGCCAGATGAAGCCATGCGACTCCCAGTTCTAAACTGCAGTGCTCTTTCCACTAGAACAATGCCTTTCAAATGTTGAAAGGGCTGAGTAAAAAATACATTCTGTAGCACTCCCCAGTACAGATACACACACTTCTGATTTTTTCATCTTCACTCTATTCTATTTCACTTTTTTTTAAATGTTCAGCCTGACACACTAAATTGGCTTATGACTCAAAGGTGGAAAAATACTGCTCTAGGAGATATATTCTTAAAGCTTTCTCTAGAATTTCAACATCTGATATAATTCCTAATAGTTTTTCTCACACAATGAATTTGTACCCCAGCAAATTCAAAAGTAAAACACTATCAGAGAATCAAATAACCTTCAAAGACCAACAGAGTCCTGACAGCTGCCGCTTGGGGAATGAGAGGAAGCTAAACCTATCTCTGTCGGCTTTCCCTAAAGCCACGAACCTAAGACAGAGAGCATTTGCTAGGCAAAAACAACCCGGTGGCAAGCCTCTCGACACCCCAGCTCCCTTCCAGTCAGACTATGGCCGAAAAGACTCTTATCCTTTATCGAAATTCTGGAGCTTCCACTTACAATCAATTTTTTAAAATGATTTTGTGTAAGAGACTTTAATTAAATATGTTTGGATGGGGAACAATGAATTTATTAAGGTAAGTGAATGAAAATCAAAATGAACTATTTTAAAAACATTTTGTTCAAAAAAAATCTCTTGGGGTGCCTGGGTGGCTCAGTCGGTTAAGCATCTGCCTTCGGCTCAAGTCATGATCCCAGAGTCCTGGGATTGAGCCCCACATGGGGCTCCCTGCTCAGCGGGGAGTCTGCTTCTCCCTCTCCCTCTGCCTGCCACTCTGCCTACCTATGCTCTCTCTTTCTCTGTTAAATAAATAAATAAAAATCTTTAAATTAAAAAAAAAATCTCTCTCTGCAATATGCCAGTCTTCACTTCAGTTGAGGGGAGAGAAGTGTAATGATTTATCCCAGATCTGAATAAAACATGCAGAAATGGATCATTAGTTAAGTTAGTACCTCTTCTGGTTTGCTCTTGAAATATTAGGGCAAAGGCAGTACACAAATTTTCCTCAACGTGAGATGTGTGTACAGCACTTTCCATGAAAGGAAATGTGGTAGTAGCAATCATTACTACCTAGTAGTAGCAAGCTAGGGATGAAAACCCCAATGTCCCCAGAGTTCTTTCAAGAAATGCGTTCCCCTGGAAAGTCACAAATAGGCAGAAAGACCAGAAAAGCCCTTTCTCCGTGTTCTGTGTCCATAGGCAGTACTCCAGCTCTGAAAACACAAACTAAGTACAAGAATGTTCATTCAAGGTCTTGGACTGACTAGCCTCACCATTCGCCATCCAAGAAGCAAGTCTGAGTTTAAAGGACTCATTTTTGTCACATTTGCCTCAAATTAAAAGACAATTTTATAAAACTTAATAAATCTTCCTGTCTTCCCAAGAGAAATGTGTTTAGAACTGAGTTTAGAAAAATATCCTCTCTATAGAGATAAAATGTATTTTCCTATGAAAAAGAAGAAAGGCATACTATTTATCAGATTTGCCCAATAGAACTTCCTGTGGTAATGCAAGTGTTACGTGTCTGTACTCTCTGGTACAGTAGCCACTAGCCACCCAGTACTGAGCACTTGAAAGGTGGCTGGTGTGACTGAGAAAGTGTATTTTAAATTTTATTTCATTTTAATTAATTTAAATTAAAATAGCCACATTCGGCTAAGTACCTCCCATATGGGGTCCTGTAGGTTAGAGAATCAACGTAAGCAGCAGAGCTGGCTAACTTGTCTTAGACTAAATATCACAATTGAAAAAATGATATTCAACACCAATATTCAATTTTCAGCTTCCCAATTAACATTTAATTAATTAATATTTAAGTTTTCCTCAGAAGTGGTTTTTCAACAGTTTGGCAATTTTTATTCCAAAACATGAACATCGAGCAGAATTCCTTTGGCAATGTTCAATTTTCCATCTGTGAAACTCAAGCACAGGGGAAGGAAAAAACTGAAACCCACCTTCCTCTTGAACAAAGGGAAGAAATGGAACATATACTCCAGACCAAAGGCTAATATAACCTCTTAGACTCACGGGTACATCTGCTCATCAGCCCCTACTTGTGTTGCTTCTTTAACCCAGTTGTGGCTTTCCACAAAAGTCATTTCTACATTTGTTTGACCTCTAGATTGCGTTTCCTTGTGATCAGGCTAGGACCAGACCCTCTCAAAGTATTCCACCTATATGAAAACCATTTAAAACATAAACACTAAAATATTCTGTATTGTAAATGGTCAGAATGGAGTAGCCTGAAGAGAACAGATGCTTCAGAAAGACTAAAATACGCAGATCACGCCAAGACCACTTTCCAAGCAGGTGGCAAAAGAAACTGCGAAGTTCCATAGTCAGCAAGGGAAAGACAACGCAAGAAAATATGCTCAGAAATGCGTTGCGGCCATGCTGTGGCCAAAGGATAACTAACTTTAACTTCAAGCAGCACCATTGCACTCAGTATAATCTCAAGGTCAATGCTGAATGTTGTTCAGCTTCTCATCATGCTAATGCCTATACACAAACCACACACACAAGCACAAACGTTTCACTAATTTCATTGTGTTTAAGTAGCATGAACTTGTAGAACTTTATCTAAAAATACTTTGAGTTGATTTAAAACCAGCAAAGGAGTATATTACGTGCAGAGCAAAGTCACTAGTACCACATACCATATTTGGTGACACTTAAACTATACAGAGCAAAGCAATTCTAAGACAGCAGTGTAACTCAGGTAAGAATTCAGCATCATAGATGAGAACTTCCTTTGTTTTCTCTACCACCACTACTACTACTACCACAAAGGTCCTAAAAAAGGACTAGAAGCTCACCTACTGTATCCAAAGAGCATCGGATCTCAATGAGGCCCAGATAGGGAAGCAATGCATACACTATCCCGGGAGCTTTGGGTCTTACAGAATAATACATAGCTTTGCCAGAAGGAAAAAATGTTTCATCTGGGGCAACTGAGAGCACTCTGACCTACAAGAGTCTGTTAGACTCCATAAAGCCTATGTTTTGTCAGTCCTTTTCTTGTGTGTATGGATAAAATCTGCAAGATGCAGCCTGGGCAGGAAAGAAGAAGACAGAGAATTTAAAATGGGGAACTGCCGTGCTGTTTGACCCTGAGAGCACCCTCGTACCCTCCTCATTCTTCCAAGCTATGAACTAGACTCCACTGACCACAGCATCTGCGGCATGATCTCTAAGGAAGCTATCAATTATAAAATTCCATGATAAAAGTCTCAATGTCTAAGACAAGTACTAGAACCTCAATGCTTTTTTTTTCATCATCTCAATTCTTAGGGGAAAAAAGTCAAATAAATGTAATAAGACAGAATTTTCACACCAGAGGCCCAAGTTCTCAAAGCGCAGAAAGCTTATAAACAGAAAATAAAAATAAACACTACTTCTCATTTAGTTCTTTAAAAGTCCGCTTCAGATAGCATTACTCCTGCTCCCCAAAATGCAATTTAAAGGCAGAAATATAAATCTACTTAAAGACACCCAGAATATAAATTAACAAAGATAAAACTTAATTCTTATATTTAATAGTCTAATAGTGATTTATGAGATTAAAATATAGATTCTAGTAAACAAAAAGAACATACGTAACAGAAAAGAGCCATGTTTTGCTTGGCTCAAAGTGTTAACACAGTACAATACCACATTAAATGAAAAAACTTATTAAACTATCTTAGCACAAATATGGCTCAGTCCTTCTCAATTCCTAATGTATTTGTGGGCTAAGTATGTTATTTCATTTTATATGCCCTCAGGTCCTATATAACCCATGCCTATTCCTCTAGATGAGTTTTGGAGGACTGGTTTTGATAAATATCAAGCACATTAAAGACATTATTTAAGAAATTTATCAGTATATAACTATGAAATTATACATCTGAAAATATCATCCTTCCTAAATTGGGATTCTGAAAAAAACTCAAAAGAATTGTTTTCTATCTATTTTTTTTAAGAGCCAAAGCAGCAAAGCACCTTCAACCCAAAGTGTAATATATATTTAATCATGGCTCCTGACTTAAGCATAACATTACAAATTGTTTCATACGCGTTAAACAAAAGTGCTCACACTCTTACCTGTATATCCAGCATACCATCCCCAGGAAGCCACCATTCCTAAAAGCCATTTATACATGATTCCTTCAATATACCAGAACCGCTTACTGTCCAGCAGTCGAAGGGGCTGAAGTATAATTACATAGCAGATGTAGGACGAAATAGCAACCAGGTTGTTGGCGACCATGAAGGCAAATCTCATCAGGGCTTTCACCAGGATCCAGCCCAGCCACGGAGCCTCTTCCAAAGTCACAGCCATGCTCACATTGGCGTCCGTCCTGTCTTTCTGAGGTGAAAGAAAAATTCATTTAAAAAGGAAAATGGATTACACCCATCCAGATAGTCACCAACATAGAAATCGCCTCCAGCACAAAAACACCAGAAAAACCGAGAGGGTCTAAGCTTTCCCGGTGTAGTACCTCGGTGATCTCTCCGGGAAATTCCAGAGGGGGACAGAGAGCGAGGGAGGAGGAGCCGCACAAGGTCAAGGGAGCTGTTCACAGAGGCACAGGGTATGTCATAATATATTTAGCAAATGATTATACTATTCCCACTAACTAATCAGCGGCTGTCCCCGCACCGCGCCTCACTGCAGTCTGCTGTGTGGACTTTCAGGAAGAAAAACAGAGCCACTCGCTTCAGACACCCTCAGTCTCTCCAAACTGACGACACGAGTGGAAGAAGGCTGTTGCAGGGACCCGATCCCATTTCCCAGCTATGAGAACCTGGGTACCCGCACCACCACCATTCCTGCACATCGATCGTGCCTTAGAAAGATCTCGCGCATTAGCAAAAAGAGTTACGCTAACAGTGTTCATTTGCGGCAAAGGGGTTTTTGTCTCCACCACCCACCCCCCCAGCTTTTTTTAGGGGAAAAAGGACAGGGGCCTAGAAAAGAGGGCAGAAAGGTGAGAGGAAGAAAGTGGGGGCTAACACGGCGAGAGGAGGAAGGACGGGAGTAGGGGGAGGGGAGCAAAAGCCAGAAGGAGGTGAAGGCACCGGGGCCACAGATGAAGAGAACGAAGTCCCCGGGCAGAGGGCAGGCGAGCGAGGGTGATGGAAGAAGCGCGAAGGAAGAGGCGACGGCAGCGCTCGGCGGGGCGCCCGCAGCGGTTTCCGCGGTCCCGGCGAAGGGGTCGCGGCGGCGGCGGCGGCAGGGGCGGCCCGCGCGCGGGGCTCACCTCGGCGGGCGCGGAAGGCGGGCGGTGGAGCGTGGGGGCGAGCGGGGCCGGGGGCTGGCGGCCCGGGGCGCGGTGTTGCGCGGCGGCGGCGGCGGGTGTCCCCGACCGAGGAGTCGCGGTCATGGACGCGGCGGCGGCCGAGGCGCGGCGCGAGCGGGCGCGCGGGCGCCCTACTCCCCTCGCGGCTGCCTGCGGACAGAGGGACGGCGGGGACTCAGAGGCCGGACCTGTCACCGGGGCGGGTCCGGGGAGGCGGGCGGATGCCCCGCGCCCCCTCGGGGCCTACCGCGCCCTCGTCCCTCATGCCGCCGCCGCCGCCTCCTCCCCGGGCCGCACGACGACGACACCCCTTCCCCGCCCCCTCCGCGCCTCTTCGGGCCCGGCGCCGCCGCAGCCCCGGGCCTGCGCCCGCCGAGCCGGAGGTTACCTCGGGCTGGCCGGGCCCCGGCCCGGGCTGCGGGAGCCAGAGGAGCCGGAAGAATGCATGGCCGGCGGCGGGGCCGGCGGAAGGAGGCGGCGGCGGGGCCCGGCCTCGCTCCGGCTGCGGCGCGGCTCGCGCCCGGTCCCCGGCGCCGCCGAGACTCGTTCCCCGGGGCCCGGCAGCGTTCGCCGGGGTGGCGCGGAGGGGCGGCGGGAGGAAGCGGCGGGAGCCGAGACTGCGGCGGAGCCGCCCCCAGAGCGCCCTCTAATGAAGGCGCCGCGGCCGCCGCCCGCGTCCCGGAGCCCGCTGGTCCGCGGGGTCAGGCCCTTGGGGCTGCCTGGTCCCTAGGCCGGCGGGACGTCGCCGAGCCCATTTCCCAGGAGGAGGGCGGCTCAGAAAGGTCTGGTAATGAGCAGCAAGCCTTACACCACACGAGGAGGGCTGCGGTCCAAACTGAGAGCCCCTTTTCAGCCAACACAGCCGGTTCTCATTGTTAGGACCCTCCCTCCTCTGACAAACCGATTAGTGCCCAAACTGGGAAGCTGTCTCCTTGAAGGCTGGATGTCCTCTTTTCTTTCCTAATGAAACCCAGTTGCTCTCACGGCTTCTCTTTTGAACCTCCCCAGAGTATTAAGGTCTAGAGTTTAAAATCAATTCATTTTAAGTGCCAGAATTCTTTCTGGAGAGCACCCAGAACATTAATGAAGATTCCGATTCCCCATCCATGTCCCCATCCCCATTCCCCTAAAGAAAAAAAAGAATCCAATGGGAATGGGTGGTCCACATAGAGACACTGTCATTTAGTTAGTCGAGGAGGGAGAAGCACTTAGGCAGCGCCTGCCATTAAGTGCTCAAAAAATGGTGGCCATAGGGATCCCTGGACAGTCCAGCTCACTCCTGGACACTGGAGCTAAATTCTGTTTCAAATGCTGGACCGCCATGAGAAGCATAGACAACCCAACGACCTGCCCATGTGAACATTCTCAAATGGCCTACCTCCATTTCAGTTTTTTTAAAAACCCCATAAAATCTTATATCCCTTAATCAAATTTGTAAATGGGGGTTGGGGGCAGTTTTTACATGTCCCTAGTGAACTGCCATGTTTAAATCAGAATGCTACCTATTCTATTTTGAAGATATTTGTTACCGTGTTTGCTTTGGACTCTCAACTATTTAACTATTTCTCTCTCTCTCTCTTTAATTCCCTCGTTGGTCCACAGGTGAAAGAAAGAGAATTCACTTTTATGCCATATGAAAGAATACTTTCTATTTCCATCCCCGCTGGCGATGAGGAAATGCATGAAAGCACAGAGCCTGGCTGAAACAATTGATTAGATTTCTTTCCATTTATTATTAATTTGTTTTTATTTGTAGATGTTATTTATCTCTTTCACTAATGTTATATTTTAACTGTGTGGGGCATAAAAAGGCACAGGCCCTATCAGAGAACTTTCCATATAATTTCAACTAATATATAGCAATAGAAAAGTTATATATGCCTTTTCTAGTCCTCTGTATTTTCTCTGAGAATTTAGGTACCAAGGTAATAGCATTTTTAAATAAATTTCATGAGAGAAACAATATATGTACAGTAGATTATTGTTCAAAAGACGCCATCATATTCTTTTTTTAAATTCGAGTATAGTTAACATAAAATGTTGTATCAGTCATAGGTGCACAATATAATGATTCAACAATTCTATACATTACTCATCACAATAAGTATATTCTTAGTCCCCTTCACCTATTTCACCCATCCTCCCACCCACCTCCCGTCAGGAACCCCCAGTTTGTTCTCTATAGTTAAGAATCTGTTTCTTGGTTTATATTTTTTTCTTTGTTCCTTTGTTTTGTTTCTTAAATTCCACCTATGAGGGAAATCATATGGTGTTTGTCTTTCTCTGACTGATTTATTTCACTTAGCACTATAACCTCTAGATCCATCCATGTTGTTGCAAATGGTAAGATTTCATTCTTTTTTATAGCTGAGTAATATTCCTCTGTGTGTGTGTGTGTGTGTGTGTGTACCACATCTTCTTTATCCATTCATCTGCAGATGGACACTTGGGTTTCTTCCGTATCTTGACTATTATAAACAGTGCTGCAATAAACATGGGGGTGCAGGTATCTTTTTGAATTAGTGTCTTTGTTTTATCTGGGTAAATACCTAGTAGTGGAATTGCTGAATCATATGGTAGTTCTGTTTTTAGTTTTTTGAGGAACTGTTTTCCACAGTGGCTCCACCAGCTTGCATTCCCATCAACAATGCACAAGAGTCCCTTTTTCTCCACATCCTCACCAACACCTGTTATTTCTTATGTTTTTATGTTAGCCATTCTGAGAGGTGTGAGGTGATACCTCATTGTTGTTTTGATTTGCATTTCCCTGATGATTCGTGATGTTGAGCGTCTTTTCATGTGTCTATGGACATCTGGATGTCTTCTTTGGAAAAATGCTCATTTTTTAATTGGATTGTTTTCTTGGTGTTGAGTTGTGTAGGTTCTTCTTTATATAACATTATATTTTTAAGTGAGTAAGACAGGTAAGGCACATGGATTCTATTTGATCTATCCCCTTCAGGATTCCTCCACATGCTGGTAAACACTGGCTGACAGAGAGAACATACAGTGGGATTTATATCCAGCTCCTGGATCAGTGAGCATCTGCCAGGGCACCAGATATACCAGCACTTGCCTGAGACGTAATTAGTACTAGCCAGCCAGGCCCAGAGAAGGGCCAGAGGTTGAGCAGGACCTTCCACAGTGGGTCTCAAACGTTAGCGTGCAAAACACTACTCGGGATGTTTATTGAAAAGATAGATTTTCTCATACCAGAACGTTTTAGTACTCCCAGAGGAGACTGGAAGCCTGCTTTTTAAAGAAATAGCATAGGTAATTCTGATGTGGGTAGTATACAGACCTTGCTTTAAGAAAACCTGACCTAGAAGTATCCTGAGATAATCACATTCTTTCCTAGACCCTTCCTAATTTTAAATTATTTGATCATATCTGTTCTCATCTGTATTAGTCAGCTTTGACTGCTGTAATAATGTACCACAGACTGGGTGGCTTAAACAACAGAAATTTATTTTCTCACAGTTCTGGAGGCTAGGTGGTTGAGATCAAGGTGTCGGCAGGGCCACGCTCTCTCTGGAGGCTCTAAGGAAGTTCCTTCCCAGCAAGGTTGTTTTCTCCTGAGGCCTCTTTCTCTAGCTTGCAGATGGCCGCCCACTCCCTATGGCTTAACATGGTTGATGCTGTGTGTGCATGTGTCTGATGTCTGTCTCTTTCTGTGTATCTTCATCTCTTCTTACAAGGGTACTAGTCACATTAGATGAGGGCCCACCCTCAGGACTCCCATTTTAACTTAATTACCTCTGTAAAGGCCCTGTCTCCAAATGCAGTCCCATTCTGAGGTACTGAGGGTTAGGGCTTCGATATATGAACTTTAGCGGGACACAGTTCAGCCATAACATCATCCTCCTGTTTACACTGCAGAATCTGCTATTTAAGTAGCTCCTTGTGGAAGGGATGTGGAAGCCCCAGTTTTGATTATTTCAGCTGTTCTCTTGACTGGCTCCTATCTCATTAGACTTTTCTTGAAGTTAAGCAAACAAAGCAATACACCATATTCCAAGTGTAGATATGCCCTGGTCTTTTGTTTTGTTTTGGTTGGTTGCCCAGGGCGAAGAAAGGGGCTTATCTTTTTAACTTTCTTGACCACTGTGGCACATTCAGTTTCAAGACAATTCAATATTGGGGCACTTGGGTGGCTCAGTCGGTTGAGCGGCCAGCTCTTGATTTCTGCTTAGGTTGTGACCTCAGGGTTGTGGGTTCGAGCCCTTTGACAGGCTCCGTGCTCAGCGGGGAAGCTGCTGGGGATTCTCTCTCTGCCCCTATCCCTGCTGGCTCTCTCTCTCTCAATTAATAAATAAATAAATCTTTAAAAAAAAAAAGACAATTCAGTACCTACAATGGATAAGAATCTGCATTTGAGCTGACTTCAGGGAACAATTTCAGATGATGCTAAATTTATAGTATTTCAAAGTTCATCTTAGATATAAAATATATATCTATATAAACTTTTTTTGCCCTGCCACCTTTCAACCCACTTAGGTACCCTCCTGAGATTTTTTTTGTTGTAGCTTATTTCCAAACAGCCCAGGCAGACATGTATAAATGCTTTCAATGACTGTAACAAGTTTGAGAAGGCCAGTTCTTCTAGAGAGATCTGAAGAAAGCAAGGACCTTCTTGAATAGGTTCCTGCTAATTAGAGCTCTGTTTATCAAAATGCAAACACTAATCAAGTCAAGCATTTGAGAGCCTTCATGTGCAGCCCAAGAGGGGGAGAGGGAAAACAGACTCCACCCTATAGCCACAGGAATGGTAGAGTTTCAGTTTCAAAAGCCTACACCGGAACCACGAGAAGATGGTCCTTTGAAAGAGAAAGATGATTTCTCACATTTCCAGGAGTTTCCAGATGTTTTAAAACAATCTAACCACAACACCTTAGAAGGTTTGATTCCACCCATCTGGTGGAATACACATAGCAAATCAGATTATAACCAGGAAGGGGCTCCCTTGGGCAGAAGAACCCCCTGGACCCTCTCTTTTTCCTTGCAGCAATTAAAACAACGACATTTCACCTCCCTGGGCTGCTTGCTGTGCTAGAGCCCCAGTGATCTAGTTCCTCTCTAGGCGGAAACCCCCTCAGCAGCGCTGTAAGTGTGTGATGACCTGGCACAGCTCCCCCCCGTCACTACA